TCGTTGGCAGCGGGCGTGGCGGCCGCAGCAGCGGCACCGACGGCCGCACCCGCGAAGGGCAGTGAGGAATGGAGACACCCAGACCCGCCCGGGATAGGAGGAGACGAATGAAGAGCGAGACACGAGACCACGAAATCTGGCGTCGCTGTGTAAACAACGCGTTCCTTTGCTTATGGCTGCATACGTGCTGTCTGATCTGTTTTCATTGGAGCTGAAGACGGGCTTGGCTTCTCAGAACAATCTTGTCATCCTTTGTGGCGTTTGGCTCCCGGATGATTTTATGCCATGGATGGATCTGTTTGTGTTGGAACATGCCTGCATCCTCTGGATGTCCTGTAAGGCATTGCATCATGCATCACCGGTCGTGTCGGCGCCTTGTTCGCACGTTCCGTCCGTTGTCCGTGATTTTCCGCTCGGGTGATCCTTTAAACGTGAAGGAATGACGGGAACGTCGGTTGCGTTTCTCCTGCCCGTTATAGACGCTTTCTAGCAGCAGCCAGCGAGTGCCGCGCGTCTCCTCTTGTCGGGACGCTTTCTTCGCGCGCGCGGAGCGTCGTGCGTGCACGTGAACCTTCTTGAGGCGTGTTGTTCTTTCTCGCGGCCGCCGGTCGGCCTCCGTATTTGTGTTGTCGGAGGCCGTCGTCGCCGCCCCCGCCTCGCCGATGCCAGGTCTGTGTGTTTTCACGCCCTCGCCCGTCGCCGCTCCGCGGTGCTTCGTCTCCAGGACGTCGCCTTTGCTTCCACCAGCCGCGTTACCTGGCGTTGGACGTTCTCCGCCGCTGTGCTTGTGCACGTCCTCCGCCCTGCGGCTGGCTCCGCCGGGTGTGGCGCGGAGCCCCGTCGGGTGTTCTGTGGTGCTCCGCCGAGTGTTGTGTTGTGCTCGGAGGGGTGTTGTGCGGCGCTCCATCAAGTGTTGTGCGGCTCGCCGCTCGCCTCTCTCCGCCGCACGGTCTGTCGATGCGCCCCGGTGGCCGACGCCGTGCGTGCCCCGGTAGCAGCCGCGGCCGCTACCCTCTCCGAACAGGGCTTCCGTGAGCCGCCTCGGAATGTCGCTGAAGGTCGAGCTGCCGGACCGCGGCGGCGGCTCAGTGCTGGGCTCCTCTCGGTCTGCTGGCTGCGATGGGACGATAGGCGGCCGGACGGCCCAGTGTCCAGTTGGTGGGCCGTGCTCCGCTGCTCAGTCGCGCTCCAGGACTGCCAGCGCGTGCCGTCCCCTCCAGACGGCCGGACGGCTCCGTCGAGCCGTCCCCGGACGTCGACCTGGGGTTGTGACCCGGCCCGGCCCGTCGCGGCCTCCACTCTCCCACTTCCTCTGGTCACCTGGCACCCCCCACCCCCCCGGCGCCCGGTCGACAGTGCCGGCCGGCCCTGCGTCGCCGGTTTATTTTCGCCCGGGCGAGCGCGGCGCCGGTCGGGCCCCTTTGTGCGGCGGCCGGCCGAGCCGTGCCAGTTCCCTGGCCGTGGTGGGGTGTGCCCCCGGTAGGAGCGCGACTCGGTGCGACACCAGAGCCGCACCATGGGCAGACGGCGGCGGCGAGGTCCACAGCAGGTGAGGAGCGCGTCGTGCGACAGCGGGGTCAGTGTGGACGAAAAGTGCGCGTTGCGATGCCGCTGGGGCTGTACTGATCGTCCCTGGGTTGGGTGGGCCCCTGATGCCGGGGCTGTGTTCCGCTCGCGTGCTGCCGCCGCCGATTGCGTGTGTGCGCCACGGGGGGGGGGGGAGGAGCGGTCAGAGGTTGGACGCCACGTCCGGGACGGATGGCCGTCCATGTGACGTTCTCGGCGCTGACCGCTGGCGTGCGCCGGTGCCGGCGGCGTCCGTGTTGGCGCGCCGGCCAGATGGCGTTCATCTGTCGCCTCTGTCGCGTCGGCGCCGCGTGGTGCCGTCTCGCCCCGGCCGGGAGCAGAGCGGAGCAGGTCTGCAGATGACGCGGCCGGCCGGCCAGCTCTGCTGGCTGTGGTCGGGTCTGGCCCTGCCATGTGCCGTTGTCGACACAGATGGGATGCTGCCTTGGATGCTGGGCCCCACTTTGCTCCAGGAGCCATGTACCATGACTCCTTGCTGACTCAGCTTGGAGGAGGCCCCGCCGGAGCCGAGCCTGTCGACTCGTGCCGGTGTCTGCCGGGCGAGCCGTGCCGGTCCGGCCGCCGCCCCACCGCCCGGTCGGCTAGCGGGCCGACCCATCCGGCCGTGTCGGCCGGCCCGCCCCGCCAGCTCGCCTTACCCGCCCTGTTTTTGCGGCGCTGGTGCGCCGTTGCGGTACTTTCACCCCTGCCGGGTCGCTCCGGCGGAGGGGCCGGGACTGGTATTCGGCTCGCGTCCGTGGACGGAGCGCGTGGTGGCGGCGCGCCTCGCCCGCTCCGGCGCGGCACCTCTGGCTTGCAGCCAACGGGCCAGCCGCGTCGGCCGCCTGACTGACGCGCGTCGGTCGGCCTGACCCTGACCTTACGCCGGGGAGGACGCGTTCGGCGGCGAGCCGAGCCGGGCGCGTGGGCGGCCGGCTGGTGACCTGTCGGGAGGCGGGTCGTCCAGAGGGCAATCAGGCGTTGGCCGAGACCTCGGCCGTGGCCCGCCCGCAGGAGTCTGTCTGCTGCACTTTGGACCCAGTCGGTCGGCCTCCGCGCGTCTGATAGCCGTCCTCAGATTGGCCGTTGTCGGCGGACTGCCGGGCGGCACAGTGACCGCCCGGCTCCAGGTGGCGTCGCGGGGCTTCTGTCGGGCTCGTCGGCCTCGTCTTCACTGGGTGAGCGTCAGCGCCGCCGCCGCGCTCATTTCGGAGATGCTCGCCTGCTCGTGGTCCGGACGGCGTCGTCGCTGGTGTGCTTGTGAGGGCTCGGCCGGACCTCCCAGACGCGCTGCGCTGGTTCGTCCGGCGGCCTTGCTGCCGTGCTCCGCCCGCCCCCGGACACGCGGCAGTTGCCCAGCCGGTCCGGTGGACGTGCAGCACCGGTACCGAGAGGCTCGCGGACCGGTCCGTCGGCCCCGGCCGCACCCAGCCGGGCCGGTGTCCGGCGCCGGCCGGCGGGGACCCGTCGTCGCGTGATCTCGCTGCTCAGACCCTCATCGCGGCCCCGTGGGACCGGCCGGCCCGCTGCCGGCAGGTCGCCAACGGCAGCTGGCTGGGCGCCCGTGTTCGCCGTGTGACCAGAGCCACACAGCACAACAGGGTGCTTGGCACCCGTAACTAACTCCTCTGACGGGAAATATTGGGGTACGCTTAGTGGGCAGCGGACTTGAAATATCTGCGGTTTTCGGGCGGAGGGCTCCCATGAATTCTAGCACTGGCAATAAGACCACGATCTCACTGGTTATCGATTGAAATAACCACCCACGTTACATAAATCTCATTCAAAATTAAAGCGTGTTGCCAAGGCTCCTCACTAGCAGAGTATTTGCTCATGTCAAGAAGCTACGAAAGTAAACCGTATGGTGGATGTGCGAGAAACATCCTCGATATGCGTGTAGTTACGGGATAAACAGGCTGTCTGGAACTGGACGAACTGCTTTCAGTTTTGGTGCAAGTTACAAGAATGGATGGCAGTGGTGTCTACATCATGAGCTTGCAGGCATTAGGTCGTGGTGTAAGGTCGCAGTCCTATTTGGTGTCTGTGTTAACAGATATAACTCAAGGAATCGTACCAGAGCTTTCCTATGAATGCTGATGGGAAGCCAACGCATATATGTTTTTGTGTCCGTGATCACTTCGCAAAAGCACCTGCACTCGTGCCCAGTGAGGGGAGGGTTTGTCCTGAACTCTGGAGCTCGGCCTCGCGAGGAAGTGTCGGGCTTGTTGTCGCGTCGCCTTGATTTGCCCTACCACAGAGATACGGCGATCCTGTGCTGGCGCGAACACGCACGCGTGCGGGGTGTTCGATTATTAGCAGGGTTATAAATGAAATACGTTTGATCGCGCGAATCGTTTGACCCGCTCAGATGCGAGTGACGTGGATGCCCAGGATCCGCCAGTCACCTGCGGTCGGTTGTCATTCATGTCTTAGTCGCTACTCAGAATTCCGTCGCATACCTGATCCATCAAATTGACGTGGCTATCTGCCTTTGCGACGATGCCAGCCCGAGGGTAAACGGAGGCGACGTGCGCGGTGCGGCGGCGCCGCGGGCCGCTGACGGACGAGCTGTCTGCCGCGCGCCCCTCCGGGTGTCGGCGGCCGGCCGCCGCCGCGTGCCTGCGCCCGCGGAATTAGCCCGGCGAACGCGGCTCGCTCTGCGCCGCGTTAGGACCGGAAGTGATTGGATTGGGTGACGACCGGGTAGAGCTCAGCGAATGTCGGGATGTGCGCTGCAGCCGTCGTGCTGCGGTGGCCTGCGTGACAAGGCCGTCAGCGGGAGCCGAGTTTTTCCTTGTTCCGCTCCCTTTTAGCAGCTATCAGTTCCGCTTATCGCGGTCGCACTGCGGTAGACTGGCGAGCTGGGAGCTGACGCCGCTGGCTGGACGGCACCGAGGCACGTCGCCGTGGCGGCGAAGTGCCTCGGCGAGAGGGTAACGATTTGGGGCCATCAACGAGGCAATATTTATCATAAGTGAGGAAACCGATTGGGGAACATTCCGATAGTGAGAAGGATGCTGCGTGACTGAAGGCATGAGTCACACAACGGTCTCCTAGAGGCGTCAGTAATCGAAAGAAAAACTGCTTTCCACCTGTCTGCGGCACATATTCTCCTCTTGTCGTCCCCGCACTGCTGAAGCAAATCGTCCTCGGCAGTCGGACAACAATCAACAGTCGAACAACAGTCAACGGTCGAACAGCAGTCAGCAGTCGAACGTGCCGCAGCTTTAGCTCAGTTGGGTGCGCGCTCGGCCTCCACGCGGGAGGCCTGGCTCGATTTCCGACTGACACTTTGGTCTCCGGTAGCTAACAAAGTCACTGCAGTCTCCAGCGCTCCTCAAAGGTTTTACGGGGGACATGTGCCACGCAGTCGTAAAAAATGACACCACCGGACCCGGCCCGCCCTGTGCTGACCCGCCCTCCCCCGGTTACAGTCGGGCGCGCCGTCTCGTTACGACGCGGTGCGCGCGCTCGACGAGGACGAGAACTGGCGCGACCGCACCGAGGTCATCACCAAGCAGGACCACACGCTCAACAAGCAGCTGGCAAGGGACATCGTCGAGCAGATCGTCGACAGCGCCGCCAGGTGGGCTGACCGTGAACTAACGGCGGCGGTGGCGGCGGCTCTCCGCGCAGCCCGCCGCAGTCAGCAGAGCAGGCTTCTCGGAAGGTGCCGAGCCGGGCTCGAGCGCCCCGCCGTACCGCATTCGGCCGTTAGAGGAAGGCCGTGTGGCCATGCGACTGCGGCGCCCAAATCAAAGCAACTAATCGCGAGAGTACGTTGTATGCACCATAGTTTGTATTTGAGTCCAAACACGTCAGAGTGTTTGTTTGCCATGTTGTGTTGTGCGGGCCGATGTGTGTCAGGCAGCGTGGATGATGCCCTGTGCCGTCTGACGCGGTGTGTGTTGCAGCACGCCTGTGTTGCACGGGCCGGTGTGTGTCGGGCGGCGTCGATGATGCCCGGCCCCGTCTGACGCGGTGTGTGTTGCAGCGCGCCTGTGTTGCACGGGCCGGTGTGTGTCGGGCGGCGCCGATGATGCCCGGCCCCGTCTGACGCGGTGTGTGTTGCAGCACGCCTGTGTTGCACGGGCCGGTGTGTGTCGGGCGGCGTCGATGATGCCCTGTGCCGTCTGACGCGGTGTGTGTTGCAGCCTGTGTTGCACGGGCCGGTGTGTGTCGGGCGGCGTCGATGATGCCCGGCCCCGTCTGACGCGGTGTGTGTTGCAGCACGCCTGTGTTGCACGGGCCGGTGTGTGTCGGGCGGCGCCGATGATGCCCTGTGCCGTCTGACGCGGTGTGTGTTGCAGCACGCCTGTGTTGCACGGGCCGGTGTGTGTCGGGCGGCGCCGATGATGCCCGGCCCCGTCTGACGCGGTGTGTGTTGCAGCACGCCTGTGTTGTACGGGCCGGTGTGTGTCGGGCGGCGCCGATGATGCCCGGCCCCGTCTGACGCGGTGTGTGTTGCAGCGCGCCTGTGTTGCACGGGCCGGTGTGTGTCGGGCGGCGCCGATGATGCCCGGCCCCGTCTGACGCGGTGTGTGTTGCAGCGCGCCTGTGTTGCACGGGCCGGTGTGTGTCGGGCGGCGCCGATGGTGCCCGGCCCCGTCTGACGCGGTGTGTGTTGCAGCACGCCTGTGTTGCACGGGCCGGTGTGTGTCGGGCGGCGTCGATGATGCCCGGCCCCGTCTGACGCGGTGTGTGTTGCAGCACGCCTGTGTTGCACGGGCCGGTGTGTGTCGGGCGGCGTCGATGATGCCCGGCCCCGTCTGACGCGGTGTGTGTTGCAGCACGCCTGTGTTGTACGGGCCGGTGTGTGTCGGGCGGCGTCGATGATGCCCTGTGCCGTCTGACGCGGTGTGTGTTGCAGCACGCCTGTGTTGCACGGGCCGGTGTGTGTCGGGCGGCGTCGATGATGCCCGGCCCCGTCTGACGCGGTGTGTGTTGCAGCACGCCTGTGTTGCACGGGCCGGTGTGTGTCGGGCGGCGCCGATGATGCCCGACCCCGTCTGACGCGGTGTGTGTTGCAGCACGCCCTCCGAAGACTCGTCTCAGAGCTTCGCCACGGTGTCGTCGAACCCGCCGGCGCCGCCGCTCCCCACGTCGGCCAGCCTGCCGGACGTGGTGCGCGGCGTGGCTGACCCGCGCGCCGCCGACTCCGGCGACTCAGGTGGGTGAGCGGGAGGTCAACTGTGGCGCGGCACACCGGGCGCGAGGCCTCAGATGCGTTTCAGGGCCTTTGAATGGTTATTTTCTGTTTTGTGGTATTAAAAGACAGCGAAATAAGCTGTCGGGGCATCGGGGACGGCGCACCCCGGGCGTCTCGGTCGCTTTCGGCCGGTCAGCTGGTCTCCGGCGGCCAGCCGAGGTCAGGTCAGCTGAGGACGCCTGTCCACGTCATTTTCTGGCCGTTGTGTACTGACAAGGTCTGCTGCGCTGTATTACGCCACCCTCGCAATGTGGAACAGTCCGCTCTCTTGCTCTCCTTTGTCCCTGTGTCATGCAACTGCAGTGCTCTTCTGCCCTGCCCCGCTCCACGCGCCTTATCACTGCCTATCACTGTCGCGTCCCATCACCGACTGAGGTCATTTGCCCTCGATGACGTCACGATCTCTGGATTTCCGCTCTTCTCCGCACTGTCGTTTGTTCGGCGCGCCTGCCTGGTGCCGGCGTGAGCGCGTGGTCTCGGTCGCAGGCCTGCCGCCCGCAGTGCGTCCGATGCCAGCCGCGGCTGAGGCCAGGTCGGCCCAGCGGACCGGTGAGATGGCGTGCTTAGCAGGCGAACGGTGCCTCCCTGCCGACTAACAGGGCCGCCGGCCAGCACGGACTGCACCCGCCGCCCCCCGTAACACGGCCAAACACGATCACGCCGGCCTTGACAGGACGGGCGCGGAGCGTGAGACTCCCGGCGACTAAGACCCGCTACACTGGCGTGTTTCCCCGGCGGGGTGGACCCTCCCCCCCCCCCCCCCTGTCGGCCAGGGCGGGAGCGGCCTTGCGGCGGTACAGGTGTCGCCTCTCACCGGCGACCGCCGCCGGGCGCCTACTAAGGTCGGTCGGCGGTGGTCGCTGGCCGCCGGTTGCCGGTTGCCGGTTGCCGGTCGCCGGTGGCGTGTGTGCGGCTGCTGGTCTCTGGCGGCGGCTGTCGGAGCCGCCTCCGTCGCCCGGACGGTGCGGCCGTGTGCACCGGTGGCGGCGGAGCGTCCGGCCCGGCGCGCCTCAGCCACGGCTGAAGAAAACCGGCCTGCTCTGTGGCGTGCCAGAAAGTGTGTAAAAAGCTGCACAATGCGCGTGGAGGCTGGGCACGGATTCGGACGGCTTGGTATCGCGAGAAGACGAGACCAGCGCAGTTTGGCTGAGAGGAAAACAGCTGATCGTGTTGGCCCAACTGTGGGCTGATGCGTGTAGCTGGCGACGCCTGCTCAAACGCCACCGACGAATCGTCCCGTCTGTGGACGTTTACAGGGTTGATGTAAAATCTCGGCACTGTTGCTGGTGTCGGGTGATTAGTTCCCGCTTGTGTGTTTGCATAGCATAGAGTGTGCGTCGTTCGGGAGTCCGCTTGTTCCCAAGCGCTGTGGCGTTGCGTGGCCCCTGCATGACAGCCGCTGTTTTCGACGCCGGTGCTTGCCGTTACAATAGAAGACAACGCCCACCACTGGAGCGTGCTGTGAGTGTTGTGTCAAAGGTTCCCGTGACTAAGCAACACTTGAGGCTGGGTGCGAACCACGTGCAGCTCGAGGCGATTGGCGTTCTTGAGCTTTTGAGGCTTTCGAGTGGGCGAGGGGTGTGATTTCTAAGGCATGGTGGTGGCAGCTTGTCGCCCATCGCGTTTCCAATCATTTGAACTTCTCGAGCCGGTATCCGACCTGCACCTCTGTAGCGAGCATCCCACCTCTGGAGCCGGCATCCCACCACTGGAGCTGGCATCCCACCACTGAAGCCGGCATCCCACTTCTGGAGCCGGCATCCCACCTCTGGAGCCGGCATCCTACCACTGGAGCCGGCACCCCACCTCGAGTTCCTTCATCGTCATCATGATCACGTCCTCGTATCAGCAGAACATGGGTCGGATGTATGTGTGTGTTTGGTATATACCGTAACGTGATGGCTCTCACATGGCACGTCACAGGCGCGTGTGCTCGGCGTCGTCGTCAGGCGGCCTGACACCGTGCGTGGCGCGTGACCGTGCTGACTGGTGCGCCGCCAGAGTACGAGTCGGCGCCGGAGCAGGAGGACGAGCCGGGGCCGCCGACGATCCGCTCGGAGGCGTCACTGCTGGCCGACCAGCTGCTGGGATTGGCACTGCAGACGCCGCTGAAGCGAGCGCCGGCCGCGCAGGCGGGCGACCAGAGCTGCGTCGACAGCGCGCCACAGAGCCCGCCGTCGTCGCCGAGCCCGTTCGCGGGGAGCGCGGCTGCGCGCGGGTCCCCCGAACCGAGGCCGAGCGAGCCGGCGCCGGCCACACAGGCGGCGGAGCAGCCGCTCGCGGTCCGCGGCGCGTCCGAACGCGAAGCGGCGGGTCCGGCCGCGGCGCCGGTGCCGGAGACCGTCCCGGGGACGGACGGTGTCCCTGAGACCGCGCCAGCTGCGCCCGCTGAGCCGGAGCCGACCGCCGCGGCGGAGGACCCGGAGCCGGAGCCGGAGCCGGAGCCGGAGCCGGAGCCGGAGCCGGAGCCGGAGCCGGGGCCGGGGCTCGCTGCGGCCGTCAGTGCTGAGTCGGACAGTGCGCGGCAGGCGGACAGCGGCGCCGAGCCGGCTGGAGAGCCAGAGGCCGCGCCGCTAGTGGTCGGTGACACGTGTCAGCCGGAGCAGGGGCGTGGCTCGCCGCCCATCCGCACCGCCGCCGCCGCCGCCGCCGCCGCCGCCGCCGCCGCCATGACGCAGACCGGCGACGAAGATGAGCCGATTCCTCCCAAGGTCGGCTACAACCTGGACTTCCTGGACGACCCCAGCTTCAACCCGTTCGCCACGGGGTCAGGCATCCGGCTGAGCCCGCCCGCGTCCCCGAGCCCGGCGCTACCGCCGCTGAAGGCAGCGCGCACCAAGAAGCAGCGCGAGGCGGCAGTGGCGGCGGCAGCGCCTGCTGCGCCCGCTGCGCCCGCCGCGCCCGCCGGCGCCGAGGAAGTGCCGGCCAGCGGTGACCCGGCCGCGCCGCCGACGCCGGCCGAGGCGCCGCCGCCGCCGCAGAAGGCCCCCGTTAAGAAGGCGGTCCGGCCGGCGAGGCGGCCTCTGAAGAAGAAGCCGCCGCCGCCGGCCGCGGAGCCGGTGGCGCCGGCGGAGGAGAACCGGTCTGACAGTCCGCCGCTGCCGCCGGCCAAGGGCTACAACCTGGACTTCCTGGAGAACGTCGACGACCCGAACTTTAATCCGTTCGCCACAAAGACGGCCGTGGCCAACTCGCCGTCGGGCTCGCCGCAGCCTGCGCGGAAGAGCTCGCCGCCCGTCGCCACGCCGCCGCGGGCGAAGCCTGCCTCAAAGCCGGCGGCCGCGGCGAAGCCTGCAGCGTCACCACCGTCGGCGGCCGCGGCGAAGCCCGCCGCCGCGCCACCGCCGGAGCCGGAGCCGGAGCCGGACCTGGAGACGATGCCGGAACCGGAGCCGGAGCTGGAGACGATGCCGGAGCCGGAGTCGGCGGGCTCGCCGGAGCGGCTCGACAGCTCGGGGCCGGCCGAGCCGGAGACAACGGTCATTGAGAACGGCTCACCGGACCCGCGCGGCGGCGGCGACTCGGTCGCGGCTGGCCCGTCCGCCGCCAAGGCGCCGCACGCCGTCAACCTTCTGGACACGAGTGAGTCGGAAGGCGGCAGGCCGCTGTCGAGGAGGCGGTGGCGGCAGCCGCCGCCGCTGTCTTCCTCACTGGTAGCGTCAGGCTTCAGCCGTTCTTTACAGCCATGGCACGGCGGCGCAGAACCGAATGCTAAATGTGATGCTTGCTATTTCCGGTGGATTTTTTTGTCGTCTCTGGCGATGGCGTGTTATTGGCGTTAAGCACCTGGTCGAGGCTTTTGCGATCACTTGCAAAAATATGGAGATGAAATCAGAAGACTCATCATAATGCTGACGTGCTGCATGTGTGGAGATATATGCCTGGCTAATCACGTTAAAACGCCTGCATGTATGGTGCGCCTCGCCGTTTTAACCCGTTTTGCCGGTGCGCACCGCCAGCCGCGTTGTGGCTGGGCTTTGTGTGCCGATATTTAGCAGCGCTCCCAATTGGAACAATGCTGTGAAACCCGGACACGCCGTGTAATAATCCGCCTTCGGAGGATGCGAGACAACCGTGCGCCTTGCTATAGACTGGGTGCTTGGCGAGCCATTCATCGCCGCTGCGTCGGTATTGAGTCCGGAGTGAATAATGGCGCGTACTGCCGAGCAGTATAACAGCGTGAAAGCCACCCGTTATTTTGCTTCCCGTTGCTCTGGCCCAGACCATGATGCTTGAACGAGTCCGTAACGTGTTCCCCTCTAGCCACAACACCTGAGGTTTACAGCAACATACAGGTGAATCGTATTATGTAAAGATCGATCTTTGGTAGGTTCCTGAAACGGTTTGACTTACGCTTTGTCACCTTTGCTCGATCTATGCAGATTTGGATTATGGTCACGGCCTGCAAACGACTAACGGTAATATCTCGCTTGCAGCGCCTCTGGAGTTGGACGAAGTGATCGGCACTTCTGACGCCGACCCCGAGATGGCGTTGGGGTCCAACGACACGTTTATGCCAGCCACAGAATGTAAGCATTGCGAAATGCCCAGTGAGACAGCGTTCTATGCCCGTCACGTCCAGATGTTATGGTCCGATTGGTTTCGAAACTTGTCAGTTGTCTGCTGACCCGATTTATCGCAGCGTAGAATCTGCAACACATTGATATTCACCTTGCGGGTACTTTTGCGCTCACGTGCGATCTGAAGCGGAATCGCTTAGTGCAAATGCGCCGCCGGCCGCGGACCGTGCAACAGAACATCACACGCGCTATCGCAGCTGGTCGTCGGGGCGTCGGCCGGGCGGGCCCCAGCAGTGGGCGGCGCCCTGGGTCGGGCGCCGGCCGCCTCTCTCAGATGGGAACGATGTCCGGCTCTGGGCCTCCGCCTGGGCCGACGGCGCGCACCCGGCGCCTGCGCCGCTGCCCCCGGGCCCACGGACGGCGCCCCGCGCCCTCTGTGCGGCTGACGGTGTTCGGCGCGTGATTGGGTCACGCGCGGCACCGAGGGCCACCGACGGCCTCCCTCCCGGCTGTCTCGCGCCGCTCGCGCCTGGCAGCTGCGGGTAATTGGCCGGATGGCTTTACGAGGTGATTCAGGTCACGTGCGGAATGTAGTCAGCTCTCGTGATGTGTCGAGCGGGCCCCTGCCCTGCTCGTGCGGGGCGTGCGACCGTGCGGCCGCGCATTTGATCCCCACAAAATCATCCAGGCGTGTAGTGACATGCACTTTAAGAGCGGGTGTTCCCTCAGAGTCAATCAGTTGTGCCCAGCACTCTCCACCACCCCCCTCCCCCTCCCCTCACCCTGTGGCGCAGTATGACGATACGGTCAAGGCGCCCGAAGTCCCAAAAGACCCAGTAACGTACCAACCATGCCTCCAACTTTATGACCATAAGGTCGGCCCCCTCCCCCCGTCAACTGAATACAAAGCAGGCGGTCAAGTCCGAAGAGTCGTAGTTCTGTGTCGTTTCGAAGCAAGTTTGATCATGCGTGCTCGCCCGACCCCTTCGACTGAAGTGGCGGGACTGCACGCTGCGTGGCGCTCTGTGAGCCGGCTGACTGTCGTAGGTGTGTGAGGCCGCCAGCCACAAACCAGGGCACACTGGTCAGCGCGGTAACGCTCCCGCCCGCGGCCCAACCGCCCACCCCCTAACCCCTACCCGGCCACAGAGGGCGTAATGACCGAGTGGTTAGCCTATTAGACTCCCACGTGGAGGTGGAGGGGGGGGGGGGCGAATCCCGGTTGCCTTGCCCCCCCCCCCCCCCAAGCGCTAGCATGGCCAATGCAGTCGCATGCGCTAAGGTAAGGGGCTTGACGACATGCGTTGTGTTCTTTTTAAAAAGCCCTCATCTGCCGGCCAAGCGACGGTCCCCCACCCGCGATGGCTGCTGTTGCACGGCGAGCCTCCCCAGTGGCGGCCTGTGCCGTCCACCTGCTGTTCGTCGCCGCGCGTCAGGCGCGCCGAGTGTTCGCCGCACCGCGCTGGTAGCCGCTCGACGCCTGCCGTGACGCTGACATGTGGCTGGTGTCGCGGTGGGCAGTTTTCCACGACGCGGCGGCGCTGGACAGCCTGGCGGAGCACGGCGACGGACGGCTGGCGTCCAACATCGCCCGCAACTCGCTGTTCGTCAAGTTCGACCCGCTGCTGGGCCGGCCCAGCGTGCTGCCCCAGCTGGATCGACAGGCCGGGTAAGTGCTGCTGGTCAGCCGCGGTGGGACCGGGGTCCCGCTGGTGCCGCTGTGGTGCTGTGGTGGCTGGGATCCGCCGTCTCGTCGGCCGTCGAGGCTGGTGTGCGGAAGTCGAGAGACGGCCGGCCGCTGGTGTGCGGAGGTCGAGAGACGGCCGGCCGCTGGCGTGCGGGGGTGGAGAGACGGCTGTCGAGGCTGGTGTGCGGAGGTCGAGAGACGGTCGACCGCTGGTGTGTGGAGGTCGAGAGACGGCCAACCGCTGGTGCGCGGAGGGTCAAGAGACGGCCGGTCGCTGGTGTGCGGTCGAGAGACTGTCGACCGCTGGTGTGCGGAGGTCGAGAGACGGCCGACCGCTGGTGCGCGGAGGTCGAGAGACGGCGGCCGACCGCTGGTGCGCGGAGGTCGAGAGACGGCCGATCGCTGGTGCGCGGAGGTCGAGAGACGGCCGACTGCTGGTGTGCGGAGGTCGAGAGGCGGCCTTCAAGGCTGGTGCGCCTGCTTCTCTGCCGGTTGTTGGTGTGTGGGTGTGGGTGTGGCGTGTTTGCTTTTGGGTCCGGTCGCCCAATCGGTTACGTGCTGACGCTGGCTGCATCTGTCTTGCCCGGGGAATCATTCAGCCAATTAGGGGTCTTTTCCGGCTGTCGAAACCTTCGTGAGGGAATATCGGGTCTCCAGCCCGCCTGGTCTTTCCACAGCTGCAGTGTGAGACGACCGGTGAGGTTCATTGCAGTTGAGCTGCTACCACGGCGTCGGTCCTGTCCGTAGTCTGCTCGCTGTCGTGCCGGGCGTCGGCAGCGTCCGGCGGCAGTACCGTTGGCGGGTAGGTGGCCGGTCACCTCGCTGGACCCGTGTTTCGAGACCATCAGCCCGTTGGCGGATCGGTGACCGGCCACCTCGCCGGGCCCGTGTGTCGAGGCCATCAGCCCGCTGGCGGGTGGGTGGCCCGCCTCCTCGCTGGGTCCGTGTGTCGAGGCCATCAGCGTGTCGTCGACCGGTGAGGCCGCCGGGCACCGCCCGCCGCCCGCCGCCCACGGGGCTGGCACGGGCGGCTGCCCGGCTGCGGCGCCGGCCACCGGCACCGGCCGCGCACTGCATCACGGTGAAGGCTGCTCTCAGCCGGTGGCCCACCGCCGTCGCGCGACTGTCGGTCGTGTCGCATGCAGCTGTGAGAGCTGCCGTATCTCCCGCTGCTGCGACACGGGTGTGCGGGAAGAGCGCCGCGCCGCGCCGCGCGGCCGCCGCTGCCGGCCCTGGTCGCCGCGGGAAGGCGCTCTCCAGGTGCGTGCGCCTGGTGACGGGCGTGTACGGCTGTAGGCTAGCCGATATGTTTGAAAAGCGCTGCACCGGCCGTCGCCATAGCTCCGTCTCGCCCGCACGGCGTGGTCGATTGCGGAGCTAGCGCGTTGCACTCGGCAGATGAGTGACTCAACTACTAGAGCATTGGCTCATCCCCCCCCCCCCCGCTTTCGAGCGAGCGGCGCTGGTTAGCGGAGCAGGCCCATAGCGGGTCTGGTCAGGGACGCACCGCTCCCAGCCAGGCTCCGGGGATGGGGAGACGCGCCAGAACAGATGGCCGCCGCGCGCAGTATGAAGCCGTGCATGTACCGAACCGTGCTTTGCATACGGGCCGACCCACGACATTACCATGGAAAACGCTGTTGCCGTATTTGCGTAATGGAGGCTGGGCGATGAAAGATGACGCGTGGTGCGAGGCGGCGCTGGCGCTCGTCTGCCGCGGAGAGCGGCGCGATGGCGAGCCCGGCCTTCGGCGGCGCCCAGCCGGCCGCAGGTGGCCGGCCGCTCCCGGTCCGGCCGAAAGCAACGGATCGGCTGGGAATCTGAATAGAGATGACGCGATTGGAGGGGCGTTGTGGCGCGGCGCGCCGAACCGCCGCCCTAGAAAGGCGGCGCACGCGCGCGGCGGCGACGGCACACCTGCGGCGAGCCGGACGTGTTTGTCGGCACGTTTTACCCGTTCGGTCAACACCGGCGACGGCAGAGACGGCGCGCGGTCGGCCTGCGCGCGCGGCGCCGCACGGGGGCGGCCCCCGTGCGGCCCGAGCCGTCTTTGTTCGCGGCCGCAGACGGCCCGGCGGGCGGGTCGGCTGGAGGCGCGGGATGAGGGCGCCGAAAAAACCACAGGGCTGGGAAACGTGGCGGGGTCTGATAGACGCGCAGGGCTGGAGGTGAGCGCTGAATGGGCTGGTGATGTACGAGCGGTAACTGGGTCGAAGTACCCGCATGAAGCTGTGAAACCGAACGCCAACACGCGCCGGCCGCAGCCTTGAATGAGAAGTGGATCGCGAGGTGCGTGGTGAATTCAGCCGCGCGTCGAGACCCCCACCTGTGCCGAGCGGGGGAAGCCGCTGCGTCCGCTCTGGAGACGGAGCGGTTTCGTACGTCTGCAAGCGTTCCGGAAACGTCGCGGCCTTCAGGGGCGCGAGCTCGGACCGTGGGCAGCCTATCTGTATTTGCCAAGTGGCAGCTGTGGACTTGGTGTCGCGACCGGTTGCAGCGGGGAGGGGCTGCCAATGCCGCTCAAGGCCGCGCTACTGGCGGCGCAGTCTGCCGGTCGGCGGTCCCAGACCGGCGGCCGATCGGCAGCGCCGGTTACCGCTGTCGCCGACCGCGACCAATGGCAAGAGCGCATCAACACGCGTGTGACGGTCGGCGCGGGCTGAAGCCGGAGCTGGCGTCGCAGCGTCAAACCCGTCCGCCCCCGCGCGCGCGCCGACTGCGTGTGGGCCGTGTTTGGACAGCAGGGCGGAGCGGGCCGGACGGCGGCGTGGCGCATGATGGCTTCCGGCTGCCCCCGGCGCCTGCCGGCCGACTGATGCGGGTCAGCGCTGGCCGGCGCGCGCGGGCGGGCCTCGTTAGCCGTGATTGGAGACCGCCCGCGCCGCGGTTCGGGCAGCCGTATCCATCACGGCGCGGCCAGCTCGCACTGATGGCACCGGCCGGCGGCGGCGCGCCCTGCTCGGCGGCGCCGCGGAGAGGGGTGGCTTCTGACCCGGCACGCGTACGTGCCGCCCCGCCGCACGCCGGCCTTATAAGGCGGACGACCGGCAGACCGCGGACGGCAGATCGCGGAGATAGCCGCCGTGTGGAAATGGGCTGCGCGCCGCCGCACGACAAGGGGAGGCCGCTGAGTCGCGAAACCCCGACCGAGCGCCGGAGCGCCCCGCCGAGCCCGGCCGGCGGTGTCGGGCGGGTCGGCCGGCCGCGCCGCTCGGCGGGGGCCCGCGCCGGGTCGCCGCGCGCCGCCCACGGTCGACCCTGGACGCCGGGTCGGCGGCGGCCGCGCGGCCGGCCGCAGTCGCGCCGCCGAGCGCCCCGCAGCCGGCTGGAGCACGCCGCCGATCGGAGCCAGGTGCGGCCGGGCGGCGCTCTGTCAGTGGCGTCCGCGCGCTGCCGGCGGACGCACGGCGTCCAGTGGTGACGGTGCGGGACGGCGGCGAGCGGGCGAGTGCGATGCTGGCGCGTGAGGCGGCCGGGCGGGACGCGTTCCTGCTCACCCGCGCTCGCTGGGAGGCGGCCGGAGGACGGCAGGAGCCGGCCGCCGGCGGTGGAGCGGGCCCGTCGGCGGACAGGTGGTCGCCGTCGAGAGACGCTGAGTATGGAACTAGGAAGAGTTCGTGGCGATCCGCCCGCTCCGTCGACCGATCGCTGCATTCTCCGGAGCGAGCCGACGCTACGCTCGACGCGGTGGGCTCGGTCGGGAAAAGGGTATTGCTTCCGTCGGAGGGCAGGGATCGGCGAAAGAAGCGCGTGACCAAGAGCCCGTCCCTGGAGTCTAGACCCGCTCCGAGCGATGTCGCCTCGCCCTGGCGGCGGCAGCATGAGGAGAGCGGCGGGGATGACTGCGCCGGCAGCAGCCGTGACGCCCTGAGCCTGCGGTCCGGCTGGGGCGGCTCGCTGCCTCGGCGGCGCTCGCAGCGGCCGACTGCCGACGTCGGCGAGCCGTCGGACGCACCGCGCCTCATCTCGGGCCGGCTGGCGCGCCAGAGCGAGACCTGCGTCTTCTCCAGCCCGGACCTGACGCGGCCCGACCAGGCCGGCACGCCGCGTCGCGACTTGTTCGCGCCGGTGGGGGGCCGCGCCTCGCCGCGCGTCAGCCGCCGCGACCTGGACGAGATCTTGGAGCGCGCGGCGCGCCGGCGTGCGTCGCGACAGGCGGCCGGCGCCGCGCCGCCGGCCGTCTCTGCGCGGTCGCTGTTCGCCGGCGAGTGGCGCGGTCGCGCCGGCCGCTCTTCGGCCGCCGACGCGTCGGATCGTTCGTCGGAGGGCGGCGGGGAGATGGACGGCGGCGGCGCGAGCACGCCGCTGCTGCGACGGGACAGCGCCGGCTCGGACCTGTCGAGCGCGGCGGCGAGCCTCAGCAGCGGCCGCTCGGGCAGCTCCGGACCGCCCGAGAGAGAGGTGACTGTCGGCAGGACTGGCACGCTCTCCTCGCGGTTCCGAGAACGCGAGGCCGCCGCTGCGGAGCGCGGCGGCGTGCCTGAGCCGGCGGCGCGGACGCCCGGGCCGCGGCCGCCGGACGGCACCAGTCCACCGGCAGAGGGCGGAGATGTAGCGGGAAGGATGGAACCGAAGACTCCCGACGCAATAAAACAGGCGCCCGACACAACCAGCGACCGCCGCGTGGAAGAACCAGACGCTGGGGTGGAAGCGCCCGATGATAGCGAGGGCTTTGGTTTGAGGGGCGCGTCGGGGGCAGAAGTGAAGGGACGCTTATCGGATCTGGAGGAAAGTGCGCACGACTTAAGCTGGACGCCGCGCCAGGAGCCGACCTCGGGCTTGGAGCTTAGTCACGCCGAAGCACGGGACAGTACCGAGAACTTGGACAACACGCGGCGGCGTGCGGGCTTAGCTCGTCCCCGCCCATTCGCCCTGAGTCCGCCAGCGGACACGGCGGCTGGAGTTTGCGCCGACCCGGAGCGCAGCGGGCCCCCGCCGGCCGCCGTCGGCCGGCCGCCCCTGCCGCGAGACGCGCTGTCTCC